CAGTCCGTCAAGCACAGCTGCTTAGAAGAGCCAGTTTTAGTTATTCATCCATTATATAATCACACTCATGAATATAACAAGCAGCATGTAAATTCTCGTTAATAAGACAAATGTTTTCCACAGTCTACAGACAGAAATAATCTGAGCCACATTAGCCACCTTCTGACCCTGACTGTGGTGTCCCGTCCATGATCAGGTTAACAGTGACTCATAAAAAGAGTGATTTTGGGATCTTGCATTTTCAGCTTCTTCCCAAGTGGTATGCTTTGAAGAGGGGGAGAAGTAAAGAAAAGCCACAGGGCTGTAATGACAATCAAATATCAGAGTAACTTCTGTCACCTACTGACAAGGTGTCCAGCCCTCCTAAGTAATAAAGCTGACCCTGTTGTAAATGCTGTCTGTCTTATGAGGTCACTGCTGGCACCCCAGTTCCTCAGGTCTGTTTCTCAGATGAAGTGTGTGACCTGTACAGGATTGAATAGGGATGGGAGGGGGTCCCGCGGTTGCATCCCACAAGCCGTTGCTATTTCTTGAACCAGCAGCCTCTTGACATGTAGTCCATATCTCACTTGGGAGTTTCCCAGGTACTTATGTGGCAGATTCCTACCCCTTCAAATCACATGCCACCTTCCCAGGGAAGCCTTGCTATCCTTCTGAGGATGGCGCCTGTGCCCAGCGTGCTCTCTGGTCTGCCTCTTCTCTCTCTGGCAAATCTTACCTTACTTACCACCTTCTTTGTTGATACCTGTTCCCTCTGCTAGGCTGTAATCAGCACGAGGGCAGATGTCGTTTCTTGTGCATCATAAATGGGAACAGTGGTATCTAAGATGTAATAGGCGCTTAGTGAGAAAATAGGTTGAATGGACAGCAGAGTATATGATCCAAAGTGCTAGTGGTTGTCTGCCTCTCCTCTGCTCCCACTGCACAGTAGCGCTCCTCAGGGCAGCCCTTGGCATCCCGCACACTGCATGTAGACAGTTGGCTGCGTGGCTCCTGGACGCGTCCTCCCTCCCGTTAGTGAGTCAGTGCCTTAGCAGTGGCTGCTCAGTCCTCTGGCCCTACAGGGTCTCCACGGTTTTCTCATCCTTGTTGACCCCACTCCTCTGGCGCACTTGGGTACCTCGTCTAAAGATCAGCCTGCCTTGTGTCCGTCGAGCAGTGCCAAGTACTCAGCCGTTAGCCTGGTAAAGGTGTAGCTATTGGTTGTGGGCTGGGCCACCGTGTCTGATGTGATTCTTAACTTTCGGGTTTAAGACCACTTTACTAGTCCAGCAGACAGGCACTTCAGAGACTGTATCATACTAATCTACGTCCACATAATTAGCTAGAGCCGGTTCTGAGGCTAAAGTCTTGTCTAGTTTGGGAGTTGTGTTGTTCTTAAACACACCCTTTGCCACGGCAGTAGCCAGACCAGTTTGCTGTGCTCTTCAGCACACGGCTTTGCCTCTGTCCCTTGTCTTCTCATTGTATCCCACGGAGACCCAGACTCTTCCGGTCTGCCTTTCCATGTAGCACCCTCCCAGTCATCCCAGCCCCCTCCCACTACTGTTCGTGTCTTCTGTAAGACTCCATGTTTTGAGATTTCATTTCTGCTTGTCTTGTCTCTCATTACCATCCTTAGCAAGAGACAGAGAAGGATCAAGCAGCATCTGGTTGTTTTTGCTCCCTCTCTTGTCAGTTTCAACCTCACAACCCTAATCCCTTGGCACAGTTTGTTTTTCCTCAGATCTCTCCATCTCTTGATCTATGAACTTCCTAACCCCCGTCTTCTGCCAGGCTGTGGTCTTCCATCAGTGGGGACAGCAGGAGGGGTGGGCACCATCCTGTACTATCTGATCTGGATTTGGGAATTGTCTCATCTGGCCTGTACGGCATCTTTGCTGCATTAAGTGGGAGCAGATACTCGAACTCCATTTTATCCACAAAGAGATGAGACAACGCTCTCAGGAAGTGCTGGGCTCAGCCCTGCGGCCTTACTTGGGCAGGAGTGAGAGCTAAGTCTCTATCCACACGCAGTTTATATTTCCTCGTACCAGACTTTAGTGCTAACAGAGAAGTACAATCCATCACAATCTGGTATTTGGAAATACACACTTTGTTTTTTGTTTTGTTTGTCAGGTTTCTTGTTTAGGTTATTAATCTTCATTTCTCAACATCTTTTAACACTCTGATGGGTGGAAAGATCACTGCAGTTTAGGTAGTAGAAGGTTCTCTGATATTGACTGAATTTCCACCCTCATTACTACAGGTACAGGTAGCCATTGGATTCACTACATGTGGGCCTGTGTTTGCAGTGTTCTGCCTTCCCATTGGAGAGTCAGACTGTAGCACAATGCCAAGTACTTGCCTGTCAACCTGGTCAAGGAGAGGCAAGGCGGTGATCGTAGGGTAGCCCACCATGTCTGTCGAGGCGGTGATCGTAGGTTAGCCCACCATGTCTGTCGTAACTTTGAACCTCCAGACTGAAGAGCCTGTGCCAACCAATTGCTAATAGCTCGATATGTTTGCAAGTTTTGAAATATCTACATATTTCATTAGATCCTGTACTTTTCAACTAAAAGTGTCTCTCTCAAACAAAAAGTATAATGTAGCAGCGTTGTATTTAAGCTTTAAAATCCATAAGATGGTTTTCTCCTATAGCAGAAAGTGATCTCTGTGTTGGCCCACCACTGTGTGACTGAGGATGGCCGTGAGCTCATGCTCCTCCTGCCCAGCATTAGAAAGCACTGGTTTAGAACCTGCGTCCTCATCGTTGTTAACGGTCTGGTTAGGGCTAGCTTCAGCTCAATAAGGTTACCATGTTACCATCTGTAAGTTGCTTCATTGCCAAGCAAGAAGGAAGGGAAAGTGCAGTTCCATGCTTGCGGGTAGAACAGATGAGAAGCTGGCATCCTGACTGCCCACAATGTCAGCTCTCAGCCAGGCAACTCCGTGCCCCAGGTGAAAGCTGCTGTGGAAAGTAGCTGGTCGGTGGGTCTTTGTGCTGCAGCTGCCTTATCATTGTCACCTGTGCTCCAGAGCCGGGTACTCAGAATAGTGTGTGTGTGTGTGTGTTTGTACACGCACGTGCATACACACACACACACACACACACACACACACACACACACACACACGAGAGTCCTAAACTAAGAGGTAGTAGTTCTTGTGTCGTGTGCAGAGGCCACAGGGCAGAGCACCAGAGTTCATCCAGGTACCTTTGATGCAGGTCAGAGCTGCCCATCTGTCCCTGGAGAAGCAGAAGTTCTAGATGCCAAGTTCTAGCTTCACCTGATGTAGTCCCACTCTTTAATGCTTACTCTTCTATATACACATATGTATGTGGTTTTTAGGAAGTTCCTGTAAATATGGAGACCAGAGGACAACCTTGCACATTGTCCGAGGAAAGCTTCTTTGAAACGGTCTCATTGGCCTGTGGTTTAGGTAGACTGACTGGCCAGTGAGCCAGGAGTCCTCCTTCATGGCCTCCCCAGAGCTGAGATTAGAAGCTTGTGCCACCGTGCCTGGTCTTTACATGGGCTCTATGGATAGATTAGGGCTCTTACTGCTTGCATGGCAAGGACCTTACTGAACCGTCTCCCTAGTCCTCTTCTGAGTCGAGGTCTAGCTGTGTTCCTGTGCTGACCTCAGACTGGGGAATCTACAGCAGACCTCTCAGTGCTGGAACTGCTGGTGCGAGCTCCTCATGGGGGGTGGGGAGTGGGGCTCCTGCTTTTTGTTCAGTTGCTTTTGTATTTGCTGCGTGTCGTAGACCCTCACTTAGGCCATTGGCTTGCTCTCTTGCCAATGGAAAACATAGGTATCCATTGGGGATATACTTGGCTCTAAGGGAAGTAGGGAGAAGCATCTTGACAGAACAGTGGAACTGTATAGAAATCATGGGGAGGGGAAACTTCTTGTAATTGGGTTTCCTAAATGTACTGTGTGAGTTGTGCTTCAGTGGGGCCTTGCCTGCTTCTCTCTTCTGGAAGATTAGCTCTCTTTAGTCAGATCGGCTAAGACCTACATACAGTCTTGCCAAACATACACACACACACAAATTTACACTAAAATCACAGAAACAACGAATGTTGTGAAATAGCTTTTAAAGTGAAAGGCTGGAAGTGGTATCACACACCTCTGATCTCAGCACTTGGGAGGCCGTGGCAGGCAGATTGCTTATGAGTTCAAGGCTAGCATAGTCTACATAGAGGCCAGGCCAGCTCCATGGTGAGGCCCTGTCTCAGACCACAGGGTGAAACCTGGGACATAAGCTGTGAGCAGCTCTGGGTGTTCTCATCTCCTGACAGGTTTCATGTCCTGTTCCACATGCAGCACCCGCTGTGCTGGTGGCTCGGGGCCTCTGGTTCTCTATTCTTTTTCTTATCATTTGTTGGTCTCAGGGTTCTAGGTCGGACGAAAAAGAGAGGCAACATCTCATGAAGCTAATAACTAAAATTTTTAATCCTTCACAAACTGTAAAAAAAAGAACTTTTTCTTTCTGTTGGTTGATGCCGTATGAGACAGGGTGTGCCTCTGATGCTTTCCTTCTTGATGAATTCTATTACACTTTTTGCTTTCATTTTCTTTGCTGTGTCCAGCAGCTATTTAGAAATGATTTGTTTGCGTTCTCATAGAATACAGTAAAGTACAATTATGTTTGCAGTAAAGCTCATGATTTCATGACTGGCTGACGTTCTGAGCGAGCATCTCGTGGAACAGATAGCATTTAAATTAAGAGGAGTCAGTCCAAGATTCTGAGAATAATTCCCCAAGTATATCTGGAAAGGATACATAATTGATTTTAAAGGATACATAATTGATTAATTGAAAACATCATTTGAAAAGCCCATTTACGATCCCCTCTGGGAGTGGTTTCAGAATGCTCTCGGTGGATGCCAAGCCAGCTGTGCACGTCATGTTTCATGTGGCTGAAGAGACCATTTATACTGCCCTATAGCAAAAGAGAAAATGTGTTTGCCCTGCCTGCTAACCACTGCCATACGTGTGTGTTCTTTCAGGTATGAGAAGGTGCCGGTCATCCTGGTGGGAAACAAAGTGGACCTGGAGAGCGAGAGGGAGGTGTCCTCCAGTGAAGGCCGCGCCCTGGCCGAAGAGTGGGGCTGCCCCTTCATGGAGACTTCTGCTAAGAGCAAAACGATGGTGGACGAACTCTTTGCCGAGATTGTGAGGCAGATGAACTATGCAGCTCAGCCTGACAAAGACGACCCCTGCTGTTCTGCCTGCAACATCCAATAGCACCCAAACATGGCTGTCCTGGACAGGACTCATCTAGGCTTGTGGGCAACAGTAGCCTCGTCTACTCCGTTGCAGTTTGTAGGATGGCTGGCGGGAATCCACAGTGCACCACCGCTCTTGGGCTGGATGGTCAGTTGTCGCCTCTGAGTACCCATGGGTCCAGTGACTCAGTCTCCACCATTGTCCTCAGCCTCCCGTGCATCTGCAGCCTGCAGGCACCCCGTGGAGCTACAGGGTGATTTCTTTTGAAGTGACCATGGTATTGCCACTGAGTTAACAGAAGCCACTGCTGTGTAAATTAAAAATAATCACGAGAGAAAAACCAGAAGAATTCCTATGACCACTAACAATTAAAATATTTTGTTGTCTTTTAAAAAAAAGTAAAGGAGAAATATTTTCCTACAAGAGTACTGAAGTCAGGAATTGATGAACTGTCTAGCCAGCGTGTCCCACCAATGAAGCAGCTGGCCCACCAACAGCCTGGCAGGGAGTCTGCTCACTCAGCTGACACATTTCTGTTTTTCAAATTGATGCTTAATCGCAGGTGTTTTCCTAATTTGTAACATGAATCCACTCACCCATCAGTCCTCGACAGAGTAAAAGTCAGAAGATCAAAGTCGTATGAAAAGCCAATCGGCTGTAGAATTTGCTGAGTCTCCTGCTTTGCCTGTCACGGGTTCGTGAGAACTGAAAGCGCACACCCATCCTCTCTCTTCACTGAGCAGAGCGCACACCCACCCTCTCTCTCACAGAGCAGGGAGGAAGGAAGCTGCTGAGATGGAGCGGTTGCCTCGCCTTACTAACGAGCACTGTAGTCAACTAACCAGTACATCATGGAAGGAAAAGGAAGCCATGTGACGTCCACACGTTCCCGTTTGCAGACACCTCACGGACAGTACAGATATTTGACCTTTTGTGTGTGTGTTCATGAAAGCAGCCTTTAAGGGCTATGGTTGCAATACAACCCTTGGATCACCTGCTTAGGAAATCCGGGTTGCTGTAACAGCTTTATTGTAGGCACAAAACAAAAACAGATCGAATAACCTGTGAAGTAATCTGGGCTTAAAAGTAGGATATAAAATTATGATAGAGTGCCAGGGAAGGGGCCACAAACCCTCTTCTCCTCCCTCCCCTGGAGGGTCCTGGAAGGGTTTCCTGTACCCATTCCGCCCTGATTACTGAAGTGGCACATACCGCTAGACTGAATCTTTTGTTCTGGAAGGGTGCTTCAGCTCAGCATTTTTGGTTTCATAGCCGTGAAGTGTTTATCATTTGCATGAGCAATGGCACAGGAAAAGAATCTATTCAGGAGTTTCACGATGAAGTGTGGCCGAGTTCTTGCCTCACTTCACAGATAAGTGCTGGCCAATGCCTTGTGGAGATCAGTCAGGCCTTCAGCACTCTGTGCCTCTGGGCCTCGATGTACTTGGTGCCCACACCTCCCCGGTTCCACAGTCTTGTGCAAGTAACCACTTAGTCTTATGTGTGTAACTGAGAGAAGAGTGTGTTTGTGTGTGCATGTGTGTTTATTCCTAAGAATTTGGCACAATTCAGAGATCATTGCCTCTACTGAGAATCTATACTGCAGAACATAGTGTATGAGAAAACATTTTTTAATTATTAGTCTCTTATAAGCCATTGAAATCCCCTCGAGTGTTTTAGTAACTGGCTTTAAGCTTAGAAGATAGAAAAAAAAAAGGCCAATGGTGTTTGTCATGTGTGAGATAAATAAATAAATAAATAATGTGGGTAAAAACCAGGTCATGGGTGTTAGAGAGTCCGAGTCTTTTTGGTCTTCAGTGTCATTTTCTCCGATTAGGAAGCACTGCATCATAGGACAAAAAGTTCTACACAATTTTCTTGGAACAAAGTTCATTATGTAAAAGCTGATTTGACTCAGACATATTGAGAAATCAGATTCAAGAAGTTTGTTTTACTTCTGAAACAGAAATGTTAGTGCACTGACTTCTGAGGCCTCTAACTTGTGAGATGATTCTGATGTTTAAACTCCCATCGTGAATAGCAGTTTATGATACTCCATATTGAGATCCAGATTCCACACTTTTCCATCATGGATGCCTATGCAGGCATGCAAAGGGTGAAATGTGAGAAGCCTGGCAAGGTGTGAGGTGGAGGTGTTTGTCCTGCGGTCAGGAAGACTCTTCCTGGGACCCAGTGTTTGCACCGGTCCTTCCTAGTGTGCAGACATCACTTCCCCAACACAAGCTGTGCCACACCCACTCTCTGTCCCTCTAGTGTGAATCTGACTGTTGTGCGTGATGTTTGCCAAGATGGGAATAAAACGCCCGAGGACAGGCAAATGACACTTACAGGCACATGAAATAGCGGCCGCAGAGCAGAACTGTTGACTTCGCTTGCTAGTTCCTAAAAGCCCGGATTCAACTAGCAACTAGAGAAATGAAAGTTTGTTCTGACATGCCTTAAAAATATTATGGTTTGACCCAAAGACCCCCTTTTTCTTTAGCTATTATCAAGTTTTCTTTGCTTTTGTTTTTTACTTTTATCAAAAGGCAGATTTTTTTTTTAAGGTTTACTTCTTTGAAGGTGTAACTTTCAGGTTCTTTTAAGCTGTGGTTGTCATGGTAGCAAATGCCTTTCCACTGTTGGCCTTTCACGAGATGAGCCAGCACGTTCTGGGAAGCCTTCTGGGTCTTTCCTTCTCCACTGGAAGGCTCTCTGATGCGCCCACCCTTTGCTTTGTCGAGTTGGGGTGTGGTGGGGTCACTACAGCTGCCATCACCCTCTGGGCTAAAACTACTGAGATTTGCTTTTCTGTGTGGCCCGGGGCGCCTGCTGTTTGCGTCCCAGTGTGAGTGTGGCCGGTGACTGTGAAGCCTCTTTGTCTGCTGCTCTTGGGGTAGTTTAGTTTCTCAGTTCTCCATCAGTAGCCCTTCCCCCGCCCCTACCCCCCCTTAGCACTGGTTAAGCTTTAACTGTCTCCTCAGCCAATCAGATGTTAAAGACTGTGGGGGTCCTTCTGTTTAACTTGTCATTGTGCATCTGTCAAACCTCGATCAGGGTTTCTAGAATGGCTGCAGTAGATTTTGAAAACAGACTTACCATTATCGATTTGGGGTTTCCCAGAGATACAGTTCACAGTTAATTGTTGAACTCTAATACAACTGACCATTTAAAAATGAACAACAGTTTATTGTTTTGTAACAATGTCGAGTAAGCCCCGACATTTCAATTGAAACATGAATTGTAGTTATAACTCAATGCAAATTCAACAGTTGTATTTGGAGTTAAATTATTTTAACAAATAAATTTATTTAATGAAACTCTGACTTGTTGGTTGCTTCTACTTGGGAGATGTATTTGTTATATACAAAAACAGAACACTGCCTCATAACGAGACCAAACACTTCATCCAGAACCCCTTGAACCAAACTAATCAAGGGTTCATTCCGTAAGAAGGGAGGTCGATTGATCATTTTTGTGGCCTTTTAAAATAACTTGAAGATTTGAAATCAGCATAAATACCTTCCAAGTATTTTCTCTTCTTTATTTTAATGATATCTGGTCAACTTGAAGCCTGGTGGGTTTTAGGGAATTCACAGGAACTGGCAGGCCTTTGTGGTCCCGCCAGCACCACTGGAGGTCTTCAGTGTCCTCCCGCAATGGCCGGACTCTGACTTTGTTTTCAGGGCATGTGGTCCGAAGGTGCCAGAAGCTGGAGGTTGCTGTTAAGTGGGGCTGGAAAGCCAGCTTGTATGTAAGGCCCTGTGAGCGTTGACAGACGCGGCTGATTGTCTATGGCCTCAGCTGTGCTGATAAGGCGTCCATTCATTCCCTGCCAACTTAAAGGCTGCCTCTGGTTATGTGCTCTTCAAACTCCCGGGCACATTCCGCCGTTTGAGAAGCTTCATTGTTTTAGAGTATAAGAACGATTTGAATGAACATAACAGAGGCACTGTAAGCATAATGTCAGTATCTCAAGGAAAATGCCTATATTTTAGGACTCAGTATCTGCTGACTCGTTTTGTATTCTCACTGGAAGTACTTAAACGGTCTGCTTTTTATCAAATTATTACTTTAGGTGAGAGAATATCTGAGAGGCTAAAGGAGTATTCTGATACACTATCAAGTTTGCATTTACTGTTTCTTAGAGGTCCATGAACGAAAAAGAAACATGACTGAAGGAATTAGATATCACCCAGTATCAAGACCTACTGACCTCTATGACCTCTGAGGCCAAAGATATTGGTTGTCACAGAGACCTAGGAGAAACCATGGACACCCGTATTCTTAAAGTAGCTCTGGGACTGTGTAATACTAATAAAGCATTTTGCTGTAGGTGAAGACTGCTCATTCATTTCTCAGCCGCCAGAACCAAATAATCATCCATCTTCAGCCTACAGGTCCATAGTAGCTGGTAGACTTTTCTATGAAGCAGGAAATTTGAAAGACTGTTTCTCCTATATTAGCAGAGTTCATCAGATGCTTTCTTCTGTGTCTTGTAGAATGTCTGGCAAACTCTTTCATGAAGCAGGAACCCTGAAGGTATATCCCATCTTTTGGAAAATTCAACAGTCACTTTTCTCTGGGTCCTGCATGTCCAGTACATACACATACCATAAAGTAGTCCAGGTAAAAGCAGTTTCTTGCCCAAATGACTAGCCTTGTCACATTGAAGGTAAATTCCATAATGAGTTTCTTCAAAGCCCATTCACCTCTTCGAAGTAATTGGTGCTGCCAGAAACAGACATATCTCATGGTTGAGAAAAGTCTAAGTTCTTAAAATATTTTAAATGCCATATTCTGTAGGTCTTTGAAGTGTTGAAGATTACCTATCCTTCTGAAATATATCTGTACATCTAGAAAACCTAACTATCGCAATTACAAGTTTGACTATTGTAGATGACTATATTAATCTGTGATTATTATTACATTTTAAATGAACTGTCTAAACATAATACCATAAACAAGAACAGAAATACATATAACAAAATTGACCTTAAATTTGCATCAGTAGACCAAGATCCATACCAATGCAAAGCAGTCATCTCTATATCATATCCCTCTTTAAGTGAAAACAAACATTTATAAACAGTCCTTTTGGGAATTTGGGCAGTTTTCTCCAAATTGCTTCCTGCTGTTTGTTTGGCAAAATATTTTTAAATTTCATGGAGACCTTGAAATCTTGTCCCACAAACCCCATTAGCCTCAAAGGACTCCACAGGTTCTCATCTTCTGTGGAAACAAAATCAGAACTTCTTTTTTAAAGCAACATATCCATAGACACAAATTTTGAAGTCAAAATACCTTTATGTTGGTTTGGGTTAGCAATCCCCAGAATCAAATGTCTCTCTGCAGTCAAAAAATTCAAAGATAATACAATCATATACATAATCCAGACTCTCTGTGTATATTCCATCTTTACATGATTTATTTTTCTTTACTCCTTGTCTCTTTAAATACTTTGTTTTATTTTTAAACCTGTTTCTTTTTATAATTATCTATACTCTTTTTCTTCTCTCTCCCAAGCATGTGTACATTTATCCAACACTGTGACTCATTCAGAGGTCTTTTTGATCTGAATCTGTCTTTATTGCATATCTATAATCACTTTCTGACTAGGATCACTTTATTTTTACAATGCTAAGTAAGTGTGGCTAGGACTACCTCTGTGGCCCTGCCTCTTTGTTCTGCCTAGTCCAACATGGTGGAGGCATGTTCACCACCTCTGTGAGCCATGCATGCTGCCCTAGCTCCAGGCATGCAACGGCTCTGTGTTGCCATTAAACAGTTTATAACACATTGCTCACAGACCCCATTTAAGTGCAGGATCTTCCAAAAGAGAGTTCATTCTGCCAGCACGAACCAGGAAGATGTCTCTTAAAGGAGCTTGCCACCAACAAACATGGTCTATCTGAAAGAATGTGACTACCAAGAACCTGTGCTAAATTCTGTTCTTTTGTGTCTAGAATCCCTCCTCGAGCTCTTTCAGTTTTTATGTGGATGTAGTTGCCCTATCTTGGGCACCATTTTGTAGGCAGAGAAGGCTCACTTGTTTCCCGGCTGCCAGACCCAAATAATCACACAGAAACTCTATTAATTACAACACTGTTTGGCCTGTTAGCTCAGGCTTCTTATTAAGTAACTTTTACATCTTAAATTAACCCATTTCTATTCATCTGTATATCACCACGAGGCTGTAGCTTACCGGTAAGGTTCCAGCTTGTCCTGCTTCAGCATATACATGATATCTTTTTGACTCTGCCTACTGTCTCTCTATACCTCTGTTCAAATTTCCCACCTGGCTTTGCTCTACTAGGTCATTGACAAATACAGCTTTATTCATTAACCAGTGGTGGCAAAACATTCACAGCACACAGAGGGGAATCCCACATCATTTTGCTTTTCACTTTTCCAACAGAATTGCTTAGACAGCCTGCTCTTTCCATGATGTCTCAATAGCTTTTGCTTGTACTCTCTGTCCCAACTCATTATGTATTGGATTTTAGGAGAATTATGTCTCTCCTAATTACACTGATGGATTCTTATATTCTTCACATATTTCCCTAAAACATGATCTTCTCATTACCTCCTGAGAATGCCTTCAAGACTTGCTAACTCACAAAAAGATGAAGGGCAGACTGCTCAAGAGACTAAATACAAAAGGACTTGTTTAGCAAATGCCTTAGAAGGAAAACACAGAAGTGACATTTGTGTCTCTGCAAAAGCAGCCCTCACACTTCAGAGTTTATTCCGAAGCCAGCTGTGGGTAACTATGCTTTGGGAACATAGATTGTTCCAAATACCATTTCTTCAATATGGTAACAATTTTATGACCATAGATCGGGGCTTGTTTGACATATGCTGGGAGTATCAGCTTGGTGGGTTACTGCATTTGGAAATTGTCTGTCATAGGCCTCAGAAACTGATGACTTTCTTAGCCCTGGGGTTAGTGGAAGCTAGTGGTCTAATTAGTACATGGTGGTTACCTAATAGTTACGGGATAGATGTTAGCTTGAATACAGAGATGGGCAGTGAACAACTAAGGGGGCTGAAGAACGCCCAACGTATTTTTGTTTTGTATCTTTAGCACTCCACACTCAGAAGCTCTGACCCATTAGCCTTCCAGAACCCTTCACAGCAATGAGGCTTTGGTCTGGAAACTTCAGGTCACACTTGGCTTGTTTAGTTTTATTTTTAGTATAAGATCTTCCTATTTCAAAGATGCAGCTGTCCAAGACATCCTTGTGCTTCATATTTACAATTGTATGGTGGCTGTGTTTATTCCTGACTTGCTTTAACGTCAGGAAACCAGGTATTCATGAAGATAGGAAGTTGGCCCAATTCCCGCGTCTTGCTGTGTATCATCTTTAGAGTCTGCACATAGATGGACTCAGCACAGACATAGGATACATAGATGGATATAGTGCAAACATAGGATGCATAAATGGACACAACACAGACACAGGATGCACAGATGAACATAGCGCAGATACAGGATGCACAGATGGACACAGCAAAGACACAGGACACTCAGCCTAATGCTCCGTAGGAGATAAGTCTCTATTCAAATTGAAGGTCACATGACTCCCAGTAGTAGAGCTGAGGTGCAGAACCAAGCTTTTGTTTGTTTCCTAGGGTCTCTGTCACACTGTAGCCCAGGTTGGCCTCTGGTGTGGGAGGTCCTTCTGTTTGTGTGTTGCTTTCACTGGTTAATGAATAAAGAAACTGCCTTGGCCTAGTTGATAGGACAGAACTTAGGTAAACAGGGAAGACAGAACTGAATGCTGGGAGAAAGGAGACCGAGTCAGAGACGCCATGGATCCTCCACCTGAGTCCGATGCCCATTAGAATCTTGCCGGTAAACCACTGCCACATGGCGATACACAAATTACTAGAAATGGGTTAAATTAAGATGTAAAAATTAGCCAATAAGAAACTAGAGCTAATGGGCCAAGTAGTGATTTAATTAATACAGTTTCTATATGGTTATTTTGGGGCTAAGCTAGCCAGGTGGCCGGGACAAACAAGCAGCCCCTCATTACAACAGACCTCAGACTTACTCCTGTCCTCCACCTCAACCTTCTACATGCCAGAGTTGTACAGGTGAGACCTTTAATTAATCAAAGCATATAAATCACCCTTTCCCCCACTTAACGCTTCTTATGCTTAAATTGAATCTGCCTCATTCAACTCTTGTATCTTAATGGTTACATCAGCCCTTTGTGGGCCATAGAAACAGGCACGTATGGTCATCCCAAATACTGAAACTGTCCAAGTCTCATGTGCCTGCCTTTTCCTTAAAAGGTGGATACAAATTAAC